ATGGAAGTTAAGACATGTTGGATTAAGAGATCAACTAATTCCCTAGCTGACGGTTTAGCAAAACAAGGGGCAAAAAGGGATTCCTTGTTTTGGGCTAAGTTGTAATGTTAGTGTCCTTATATCTTTGTATTTTCTTCTTTCCTTTCTTGAAGTTCTTTGTGACTCTTGGAAGATAAGTGTGTTTGTCTTCCACTTATAAATTTTTTTGATGAATTAATGAAAGTGTTATTGATAAAAAAAAAAAATTAGGATACTAATCTTTAACATTCCTCAGTAAAGATAGCCGTCAATCTCCACCAATACGCGGAGAAACCAGAATCAATTTTATCAACTCCTGGCTGCAACTATATCATTGAACAAAATCCCAAAAATATGGAAATATCCAGAAAATGCCCTGATGTTAGCTTACGGAAGTATTCTGTATTCTAGCTCTGTGCAGTCTTATCCTCGTAGAAAAACAGATAAATATGGCGAATCCATCCAGAAGCTGCATATGAAGAGGTGAAAGGGAAAAAGGGAAGTCACAGTCTACCATTAGGATTATCGCATATATTTGCATTAGGATTATTCACAACAAAGCGGGCGTTTGGAGGTGAGGAGAACATTTCAATTCATCCTACTACTCGGCGCTTCAACACATAATTCTACTTCTTTGTTTTGTTTTTTTTTTTTTTTTTTTTTCTTTTTAAATCAAACATGAATAAACTTAGGAAGGATGTCATTCCATGAACACCTCAAATGATTTCAGTAGCATCTCTATAATTAGTCAACTATTCATGTAATGATGTAATCATCTCTAAGAAAAGTTGAAACCATTTCAGAACACATCTTGTCCAAATGCTCCATAAATATTTCCAACAGGTCAAAAAAGCACCTTCAATCTTCTAAATGATGTTTGATGTTATCCCTTGCGGATGGAGAAATCAATATGTAGGTAAGCTACACAAGCCATGAAAAATAGAAAAAATGCTAATGCCAACATCAGTGGCTCTGCAAGCATGCTAATTGGGTTGAACTTGTAATAAACCTGCAAAATGAAAACATAAAATAGGAAGAATCATAACTGTAACTAATCCAAAAAAGGCGAAAACAGCCACAATTGTAGCATTGTAGGACAACGTAGAGATGTGGGTGGAAGCACTGAAGAGAATTGAGAGCCTATGATCTAACAGAACATATGGTCCCACATAGCAAGGAATAGCAGAGCAAGATTCATGTAGCCAACCATGAAAATTTGGGAATATTGGGTTGAGCCTAACCAACCCTGTGTTAATTTGTGACCTAGGATAACATTTAGATGACAAACTGCACCTAGCCGGACCAAATGACCAATATGTTCATAAGGTAATATATGCTTTATATAGGCCCTAAATACATTCAATATACCTAGGAGTCTAGGACCAATGGACCACAGGACAGAGGAACCAATATACAAAGAATTGAGTGTTTGATACAATAAACCAATTAATAAGAAATTGAATTTTGGTAGTTTATAGATTGAATACCATTTAAACCTGCAAACATGGCATTGAAAATGTAGGAATATAACACTTTTAAAACTGACTCTTGCACGCCAATAGCTTAAATATCAGTACCAATTACAGGATCAAAGACAATATAGCCTATCTCTATCTTTCTTACAAAAATTTGCATGGAAGGAGAAAAACATTAACATCACACAATTAAGAGAAGTTGCTAGATTGCTTGGTTCATTGTGATGGCATGTGAATAGATAGATCTGGCTTATAATCTTCTCCAGACGCAAGAACTCATTCTTATTCTCATATTAATTGCTAACTGAAGAGAACCAACTTGGATTTTTGTTGCCAAGTTTGGTTTCCAAATATCAAAAACCAATTTTCAAGGACTTGGGAACGAATCCCACCTGCACCTGGGTTGGGGGATGGGCTACCCCCCCCCCCCCCCCCCGCCGTGGCCGCCTCACATAACAAGAAAAAAAAAAAAAAAAAAAAAACAATTTCCAAGTCCAAGTTCTTAAAGACAGCCCCATTTAATAGGTTAAAAAATCACCTGGAAATAAGAAGTATGCTCAGGAACTACATTTTCCTTTTCAAGAACCACCACTGTCCTCCCAACAACATCAAGATATGAGTACTTTCTCTGCAACAACTCCACATGCAATCAAGTCAAGTATCATGGCAACAGAAATTCTGGATTCTGTTAACATAAATAATTAAACTACTCTATTTAATGAATTTAATCCATCTTATGAAATCAAGTGATGGTTGATTTGCAAAAAACAATTCCAATGAAAAAGAACATTAAGTGCCTTGCAACAGTGGTATATTAACACTAATAAACAATGAGAGAGAAAGAGAGAGAGATCAGAAGGAAGTACCTCTATATACTGGTCCACTGGGAAAGGGACCATGGCAGATGGATCTTTGGATCCTTCTGGTAGCACAACCTGAAATATAACACAACCCATGCTCAAGTCAAATGAGTAACATGAAACAATTTGTATGCATGCATGCATACATTTAGGAAACTGAAAGATTAAACAAGCAACAAATTTGGGTTAATAAAATTAAAGTCAAAACTCAATATAGAGGACATACTTTTAAAATCAACTTGTTGACCACTGTACCAGCAACAGGACATCCAAAACTGAAGTTAAGGTAGCGTCTGCCATCAGATGACTCAAAGAGGAAGTCTTGCAATGGTAGCCCATATCCAATGACAAAAGTGGCTTTCCAACCCCCAAACAAAGGATAGCGAGGTTCTATTTCAAGTTCTGACTGTGGAGAGAAGAAGCTTCAATTCAGACTAAAAGATAAAGGAAAAATTTTTTGCAACATAATTATTAGATCTGCATTATGAAATATATATTGCTAACCATTTTTTCCATTTTTTATGCTAACACTACCAATGTTTTTTATCAGTACTATTCTCAATGTGGTCATAATAACAAAATATACTTCTACGGTTGGAGGCTTTGCAACTGAATCAAAGGGATCTGGTTCTAGTTACCAAAGCAAACCCCTCATCCACATGGTTTCTGAGATCAACCAATTTAATTGCTGGCAACCTAGATATAGAAGGGTGATGATTGATGAATAGGTGTGAGCAAATAGGTACTTTTTTACCCAGAACCGAATGGAAGTATGGAACCAACCTTGAACCAGCCTTGAACTGACCCTACCCAATTTGTTATAAGGTAAGGTCTGGTTCCAAATTCCGTGGCCTACCCATTCACAGGGTAGGTTCCATCTCCCTCTCATTCTGCAACCAGCATCACCACCTCTAACAACAGCTGTAGCTGATCTAACCCCATTAGAATTAACAACTATATCCTGGCTTATTGGAGAGACTCTCCTAACCCAAGAAAATACATCTGTAATAAGAGAAAAACAAGAGAGGGAAGAAAAGAGAAGAAAAAGAAAAGAAAGGAGAAAATGTTCAATCTGCTCAACAAGAGAGAAAAGATAGCTATATATATATATATATATATATATTTGATGAATGAATGGTATTTTATTAAATAGAGATAGAAATAGTACAAGCATTAAGCACCTTAAGAGAAGGCACGAGGTGCTACCTCCCCTTAAAGGTGGTTCCAAACCCAACTCTTTTCAGATTGCAGTTACAAATTAGCCAAAAACAGAGAATCCCTTGAAGCCCCTTGTTTAGCTAAAGAATCTGCCAAAGCATTTGCCGATCTACTAACCCACTGAAAGCTAACTGACATGGTTCCCGTAAGCCATTTGACTTTTTTGATGATGTCCCTATATCCCCAAACAACAGTTTCTAGGTCCGACATCCATCCCACTATCACCTTAGAGTCTCCTTCAACTATCAAATTAGTCACTCCAAGTTGGTTGGAAATTTGTAGCCCTTGTACCATAGCTAATATCTCAGCCCTTGTAGAGTCTCCATAACCCGCTGGACTTGAGAATAAGGACAGAATGTTACCACCCTTATTCCTCAAGATCCCTCCTATACCCAAAGGTCCCGGTTTGCCTTGATTGCTCCCATCAAAGTTCAACTTTACAACTCCTTCCGGAGGGGGTAACCAACTTGCTTGTGTTCTATTTTTCTTGGATGATGTGGAGGCCACTACTGCCCAACTCCTTTGAAAGTCATCACTAGAGTAATCCGCAAAGAGATCAGTAGTTTTTAGCCAAAGGATTGCCCTTGTCAATATACAATCTTTTATTTCAGCAATGCTTCTCTCCTTCTCCTGGAAAATTCTGGCATTTCTTTCCTCCCAAATGGTCCATAAGAGGGCTGCCCTAATACATTTCCACATTACTTTCCCTCTCTTTGTTGGCCAACCAAAAAACGACGGATCAAAAAGCAGATTTACTTCAGGAGGCAGGTTCCACCTGTACCCAAACAGCATAAAAACTCAATTCCAAATATTTACTGTAAAAGAGCAAGAAATGAGTAGTTGATAACAATCCTCATTCTGCACTTTACATAAAATGCACCAATTGGGGGACAAACATGCATAAGGTCTCTTTTTTTGTACATTGTCCACAGTATTAAATTTATCATAATACACTTCCCAATAAAAACCAACAATTTTAGGTGGAATTGGCCTTGACTAGACTTCTTTAACTAGGAACAACAAAGGGGAAGGAGTAGAGCATAGAGACTTAAAGAAGGAAGAACAAGAGGAGTCGCTCGAGGTCAAAGACCAAATTCTTCTATCTGGTTTAAGAGGGTCCAAACAAACAGAATCAAGTAAAAGTAAGAGCTCAGAGGCAGAAACCGATTCCTCATCCCTCAACCCTCTACGGAACCCATAATCCCAATTAAGAGACAATGGGAGAATGGGGGGAGAAAGAAACCTCGAAATAGTCTCCTTTTTATAGAGGGAAACAAAAAAAAGGGAGGGATATAGGTCTTTTAATGGTTGGTTGCCCACCCAAACATCTTCCCAAAAAAAGCATAGAATTACCATTGCAAGCATCATACCTTACGAACTTGAGAAATTTTGGGAGGATGCCAAAAATCGCCTCCCAAGGTGTAGGGAGTGTGGCCAGTTGAGATACCCCAACATCCCAGCCAGATTTAGAACAACCATGGATACTAGCCACCACCTCATGCCACAATCTCTCTCTTTCTAGAGGCCACCTCCATAACCACTTGCCCAAAGGAGCTTCATTCTTATTTACTAGGTTCCCTAACCCTAAGCCCCCTTGTTCCTTGCTTCGACTCACCACCTCCCATCTAATCAAATGATCATTTTTCTCTGCACCTGGCTCCCACAAAAAATCCCTCATCAGCTTTTCTATCTTCTTGGCTTCCCTAACAAGTATCCTAAAAACAAACAAAAGGTAGATGGGTAAGTTTGCGAGTGTGGCCCTAATCAAAGTTAATCTACCCCCTAGAGAGAATATAGTTCTTTTTCCAGGTCACTGGCCTTTTTTCAAACTTCTCTACCACTAGGATTCAAAACCTACTTTCCTTTGGATTTGCACCTAGGGGAAGTCCTAGATAGGTCAAGGGCCAAGCAAAAATAGGGCATTCTAAGCAGGCAACAATGGACTCCAACTCCCTTCCCTCCACATTTAGCCCCACCACACAACTTTTCTCAAGATTTATTTTCAGGTTTGAGACATTCTCAAAGAGGGTTATTAGATTTCTCAGATTCCTTGCCCTCAACAAATCACATCCCTCACAAAAGGTTATGATATCATCTGCAAACTGAAGATGAGTAACCGAAACTTGATTTCTTCCTAATCTCCATCCTCTTATCAATCCAACCATGTCTGCTTTTGACAAAAGTATACTAAAAACATCAACAGCCAATGTGAAAAGGAAAGGGAACAATGGATCACCTTGTCTCAAGCCCCTACATGCTGGGAAAAAATCTTTTACTACTCCATTTACTAAAACTGAGTAATGGCAAGACGTTAGACAACCACCTATCCACTTGCACCATCTATCCCCAAAACCACACTTTCTGAGCACCTCTAGCAGAAAACTCCAGTCCACTAAATCATAGGCCTTTTCAAGATCCAATTTGCAAACAAAACCTTGCCTACCCAATCTTCTCATCTCTTCCACACTTTCATTTGCTATTAAGATTTGGTCAACTATTTCTCTACCATGAATAAAAGCACCTTGAGCTTGACTTATTATGGGGGGAAGAGCCTTTTTGATCCTCAAAGATAAGACCTTTTCCAGTATCTTATAGATGCTTGTTAGCAAGCTGATTGGCCTAAAGTCTTTGGGATGTTTGGCCTCTTTCTTCTTAGGGACCAGGGCTAGGAAAGTGGCATTTACTCCACGGCTAATGACAGACTGTTCCTCAAATTCTTTGAAAACTTCTAACAAGTCTCCTTTAACTATGTTCCAATAGTCTTGAAAGAAAGCCATAGTAAAGCCATCTGGCCCTGGTGCCTTAGATCTATCCATTGAAAAAATTGCTTGTCGGATTTCCTCCTCAAAACTCCTTTCCAACCACAATTTCACCTCTTCAGACAGTGTAGGCCAATCCAACCTAGCCAACTCCACTCGACTAGCTAGAGGTTTCCTTAATATAGATTTGAAGTGCGTTACAAAACAATTGGTTATTTCCTCTTGAGAGTCCAACTCCACACCATTCACTTCAAGTTTAGTCACCAAGTTTTTCCTTCTTCCATTGGTCATCTCATGAAAAAATTTGGTATTCCTGTCACCTTCCTTTATCCATTTATGCCTAGATYTCTGCCTCCAAGATATCTCTTCTCGCAAAAGAACCTCCTCTAATCCCTTTTTCAACCTCCACCTTAATTCTCTTTCCTGAGTATTCATGGTTCGTTGAGATTCCTTCTCATCCAAGTCCTCTATTTGGGTCATTAGATTGGATTTTTGTTCCTCTGTTCTCCCAAAGAGGTCCCTATTCCATGTTTATGAAAAATAACTGACTAGAATGCCCTTATAATAAAAGACAAAAAGTCTAAACTACCCTACTACCCCAAGTGACTCTCTAAACCTCTATTATAAACTCTAACAGCTCCCAAACAGCCTAGGTTGTTTTTCCCAGACAGCCAAAGTTGTCCCCCAAAGGTGGGGTGTCCATGCAACACTGTTTAGGCTTATTTTTGTTGAATTGAATTTAATTTATTGGGATGCTATGATCTACATAAGCATCTATCTAAGCCTTTTGTTAACAATTTTCTAAGGAAATTAAGAATTAATTACTTTTGTCCAAGACCCCAAGTTTGTCACATGGTTTAAAATGTCCCTAATTTCCTTAATACTTCCACAACATATTTCCATTTCCATGGGTAGCGACACGAAATTTTACTGGAATTGACATATTCCCCAATGAACACTACCAACACTATGTGGAGTACACGAGATAGCTTCGACAACATATTTCCATCTCTATTTCCATGGGTAGCAACATGAAATTTTACTAGAATTGATAGATACCCCAATGAACACTACCGGCAGTATACAGCGTAGAAGAGATAGTATTATAACATAAGTTGGGGACAATATTATAGATATGTGGAGTAATAATGTTAATGTCCGCCTAACTTACATGATTGCCACTTTGAGCTAGCTCAATATTCATTTTAAACATGAAACATGAAGTTAAATATTAGTTTTTGTTTGTGTGGTAGAGAACCATTTACATTTTCTATGAGTTCAAAGTTTGCTTTAACTCATAGAATACATTCTTTTGTCTATAACCTTAGGTTTCTTAGCTTTGTTTAATGATTTGGAACAAGATGATAATTTATAAAGATGTGCCTATGCTTCTTTTATCATTTTATAAAATATCATTCTATATTTTTTCCACCATGCCTATAATTTTTACCCTATTTCCATACAACATTTCTGACATGTTTCCTATGTTTGGATGACCGGCATTTCCACGAACACCAGCATTTTAAATCTTTGTTTGTCAAGGTTTAGGATACTGTCTTCAACCCTAAGAAAAGAGTGGATGATCAAGTTTTGATATTCATAGTTATTTTATCAAAATAGAATGATATTTTCTTGGAGACAATAATGGTGGCAATATGGCATCATCCTTGTAATTTAAGTTGTTAAGTTCTTAGTTATTTATTTGCATGAAAGATCAGAAACGCATAAAGCAAAAACCAAGATTCTTTATCAATATTGTCTTCAACCCTAAGAAAAGAGTGGATGATCAAGGTCCTTGATTCTTTATCAATATTCTGTTGTATCAACCCTTGGACCACAATGGTTTGTTTGAATTTCTTTGGAGGAAGACAAAGAATGAGATGTTACATGTACCTTCTGAGAATCAGTACGTAGGTGTGAAGATGAGATATTCCCAATCTCATCTCGATAGTAAACAGAGTGCACCCGAGGGGGGAGTCTTACAAGGAGATCCTTAAATGAAGATACACCACTAATGGATGCTCTTGATTGATATTCGAGCCTGCCAGAATGAAGCTTCAGAAATTAGGATGCATATGGACCTAAATAACAAAATGAGAAAGCATACCACAATGTATGAATGAATGAGAATACCTCTAGAAAAGAAAAGAAAGGCCTTTCATGGTTAAACCAAAGGTATAATTTCGACATCTTCCAAAGTTGTATTCTATGGTTGCAGTTGTGGGTTATGCAGTCACTCACTACATAGACTTTTGAGGGAAGATCCGTTATGTTTGAGCCTCCCCTTGTACCATTTTAATGAATACTTTGCCTTTGTTAGAAAAACAATTTGAATATATGAACTATTTATTGTGGTTAACATAATAGTGGAAGACACTTAAGGTGGTTTTGGTGTTGCAAGCTTTTATATTTTTGCCATTTAGGTTCCTCTCTCCCCATGAGCTTATAACCCAATTAATCAAAACATATTGCATGGCAACATGTTTCTACTACTCAACTCGATAAAGTCTTATCCCAACTATATGGATTGAGCTACAAACATCAAAATAACCATGTTTCCAATACAAAACACCAAAATAATCATTATTACAGATATTTCATACCAGGAAGGAGATAATCTTTCATAGGATGAAATAGTATCTCACTAGCTAACAGAATTTCTCATTAATATAGAAAATGTTGTCTATTCTTAAACAACTAGTGACACTAATCTTGGTAAAGAATCCAAACTTTTGCCAAATTTCTAAAATTCATAATATTGGACAGATACAAACAAAAAGTGAAACTGACCTTGAAAATATGCCCTTGTGCCGAGCACCAGCATGAACCAGCTCATAGTGTTCTGTAATCTGAAGGTTGCCCCAATGAGATACTTCCACTTCGCGTACAAGTTTCTCAATGACAGCAAAATGATGGTTGTTCTCAAAATGAACTATAATTGGAGAAAAGGAATATGGCAGACGATCAGCATAAGGTCCATATTTTATTTCTTTACCGGAAAGTTTGGTGGGTTCTACCCTTGTATGAGACTCAATCCTGGTACTTGGTGTTTTAATATATGTTGTTTGTTCTTTAATTTGATAAGGTGACAATATTATTGCACTGTCATGGTAATACACATACTGAGATTCTGATTGGCTGATCTCTGCCGGGAAAGGTTCTAAAGAATGTGTTAATACAAGTAAAGCTTCCACTGTTACAGTTTCACCTTGCTTTAACGGATTGATCAAAGAGACAGAGAAGAACCGGGTTCCATTTGGTGCATCATCTAGCTCAACAGGGTTTACAGAAAGGGGTACATAAGTTTTCTTTTTCCGTTTCCCTACAGCTTCCACTGCTTTGACCAGTGCTAAATGGTTAACTTGAGTAGGTGGAAAGGCAAGAAGAAATTCTGAAGCAGGTGATGTTCCAGTATTTTCAACCTGAAAGAGATTCACCAAACATATAACTGAGGGGAGAGTAAAAACAGAAAATGCAAAATTACATGTCTTATTAAAAGAATTCATCATCATCAAATGCTTTCCCAATTTATAAAGCAGCATAATTTTTTTTTCTTTTTCTCCAGGACCCCAAACAACTGAAAAGTAATTTTTTCCCTTTCTAATCACCATTGCAAAACCATTCAGGTCCATGACAATTCAAAGGTAGATCTAATCAAATGAATTTACTTATCGTTCAATGAAAAAAGGTTGGGGGAAATACCTTCAAAGTCAAGTAAACCCTTATTATGTGAGAGGTCAAGTCAATCTGCATTTATTGCCAAAGAATTAGTGATGACTGATGAGATTTAAACCATTGGACAATGTTCAAGAGTAGCAAGGCCTTCATAACACAATCTATGAAGTCAGAAATAAATGATTTTTTTTTTCAAAATATATTAGACAGCTAAAGACCTGCATTGATAAATAAATGACATTCCATTGGTCTATAACTAGATATTACTGTACCACATTCAATCACCAAGGCATAGTCCACAAAGGCAGAGGTGAAGGCTCTGCTTATGCAGTCAAGGATACCTTTAACATTATATCCATCTGCACTGACAATTTAAGGAGATACAGTGAATGATATCAAACGGAGCAGAAAGATAGCTAGAGGGTTCCACAGCTTGCATACTATAATGAAATTGGCTAGATTGGTTGTGGAACTCTTCTGTCCTTCTTTCTTTCTTTCTTGAACCGCAATTAACAGTTTAATTATTACTAGTCGGCAATGTTGGTTGAACCTTTTATTCCTCAGTGGTAATAATATTAGTGATTAAAAAGATTATTGTCAAAAAATTGTTAATTTTCTTTTGCATATTGACTCCAGAAAACAAATTAAAATAAAACAAGGTGATTAGGCACGCATAGATTAAAATTCTCTTTCAACAATTAATAATCACATAAAGATAAGAAAGCACCCAAAATAACAAAATGTTAAAGGAAAAGAAAAAGAAAATCATTATTAATGCTACTGAATAAACGCATCACTTTCGAAATTATCCGACGAAATCAGAAACTAACTGCTGCCTTCATCAAATTTCCAGCACATAGTCTACACGTCACGAAGGAAAGATTCCAAAATCCAAACAACAACGAACTATAAACTTATGCAATCTGATTACTCGAGTGGACAATTGCATTCGAGTTTAATCAATAAGAAGATTACCATCAAAGACCACAAATCAAAATCTCAATTACCGGCTTCTTTATATCATTACTCTGAACTTGCTAAGAAAAATAAGTGCTCATAAAGGAGATAAATTGAATCCATAAGGGAACTTACTCTTCGCTCGGCATTGGCGATCAGAAGCTCCTGCGAGTAAACAGGACTAGGGAATAATGTTACAAATGATACAAAGAAGAAAACTAGGGCAACTCGAACTGCAAGCAGAGCTCCCATGGCTGTTTCTTCTGTTACTGGTTTGACCTTGAAGACTTGCTTATAAACGAGAATAAATATGGGCCGGACTTTATGTCGACTGGCGCCTGCCCGGTTGGTTCTATTGTACTCTATCCCAGGGTTTGTTTTGGGCTTAAACAACAGCCCACGGGCTGAAATTGGGCCTAGGGTATGTTTTGGGTATCCAACTTGGGCGAATCGAGGGCCTGATCGGAGGTTTTATTCTTTTGGGAATGGTCTCTCGCACAAAGGAGTTCACATCAGCCCCAACAAGGGGGCGCCCCACAAGCGGCCACAACGTCCCACAGCACATGCTTATCATTTTTTTATTATCGGAAGATGTTTTTAATGCATGGCTGGGATGTACTGTGAGACGTTGTGGGGTGGGTGGTGTGGCGGGGGGGCTGATCTGAACTCCTCGCAAAGAAACTAATCTTTAGCAAGTTGAAAGTTGATAGGTCTAAGTGGAGATCACAGCTCCGCCCCACAACGCATCACAGCACATCTCTGCCATGTATTGGGAACATCTTCCGATGATGACATCATCAGTTCTAATACTATCATCAGGAAATATTCTCAATACATGGCGGAGATGTAAACTCATTTAAATGGTAATTTAGGCTGCATTTATTTGCGATGAAATACAAGATCCAGGTGGAGTTTTAAATTTCGGTCCGATTTTGTAGCCGTTTGAACGAAACATAAATGATCATCGAAAATGGTTGTAAAACTCCTTGCAGGTCGAGTTTTACATTAATCATTAAGGGAAATTTATCTCTCATAAAAACGATGTTTACATGGATAATTACCACTTTTTAATTTTTAAAATCATTGAGTGCAGAATTCCTTCGGTCCAGTATTTACTCCATTTTTTTTAAACCATTTTATCTCTCATAAGTGTTTATGACTTAAAAAAACACTCTTTCAAATGGGTCCACGTTCTATGCACCCATGAGTGACTGAACACGTGAACCCATCAATAAAAATGTTACACGTTAGCATTTCGAAACTCTAATAACTTAACGGGTGTTTAGCCGTTAGCTGAAGAAGCCCAGTTGAACCACTCACATAAAGACAAAAAAAAATCATAAAATGATTTCTTTCAAGGGATTTCATTTAAACTCCCTTCCATTTCTTCTTCTCCTCCAAGTCCTAACACAGAGAAACATCCCACCGGCCACTCACCCCCCATCAGTGTCCATGAATGTGGTAGCCACCAACGACGGTAAGAATTCCTCTTATTCCCTTCTTTTTCTTCTTCTTCTTCTTCTTCAGTACAACCAACTAGAAGACAGAACACAAAAGGATGTGATTTGTGCCTTACATGAGGGGAAATATACAAGGCAAGGAAGAGGGTCCATTTTATTACGCATTTAAATAGAGTTGTAAAATCAATCACAAAAAAACAGGAATTAGGAAAATGGGATGTTTCTCTGAGTTCCAACTACCTATAGTGCCTCCAAAAGATCGAAACCACTACCAAAGGTTGAAGCACCTGCCTTTGCAGAGGCAACAACAACGGATGCTGTCAAGGTTGAAATAGCGATTGAGAAGCTAGTTGAGACTGACCCACTTGCCAGCGGATCCTCCACTCGAGGCTGTAAAGCCCGATGAAACAGCAATTTCATCACCAAATGAACTATTCCCAATTGTAGAACCTGTAGGACCACAGTTGGAAAATACCCTATAGCCAATAAAACCACCAAAATCTGACCCACCACAAGCTGAAGCAAGTAAAAATTCAGTTGATCCATCATAACCAACGTAAGTTCACTCTGAAACTTATTGCTGAAATTGGGATGTGGAAACTTATTATGGAGGTCGAAAGAAGAAGATTGGAAGAAGAGGAAGTTCATAAGTGAGAGTGAGTACCTTTTTTTTGCTTACCGCCGAATTTCTTGCCGGCTGGTGGATTTCACATTATTAGGGCTCGAAGGAGTGGAGAAAATGAAAGGGAGTTCGAACAAAATCCCTTGAAAGAAGTTATTTCTTTTGTGTCCAGTTCGACTAGGTTCGAGCCACTAACAGATGAAATCCCGTCAAYTTTAGGATCAATTTGAAATGCTAACATGTAACATTTTTATTGGCGGGTTCACATGTCCAATGCACCCGTGGGTGCACAGAAGGCGGACTCCTTTCAAATGGGTTAGTATAGATATTTTTGAAAATTATGTGACAGGTCATGACGGGTTAGAAAAGTAATAAGCACTTTTAAAAAAACACTTGAAGCAGAGCCATTATTTTGGGGTTATTCAAAACAGGCTTATTTCTTCAAAAAACACTTATTCAGGTTTATTTTCCATATGCATATAAGCGCTTATTAGTGTAGTAAAAACCTGACGTAAAATATGTGCTTTTTTTAAATAAGTTTTCAAATATGGCCAACAAAAATTTTGCGGCTGATAAAAATAAGACATGAACTGAAGCAGTGAGGAATAATTTGATTCCTATAATTTAACAATGGACATGAGACTCAACAGAATCGATGGCATGCAGAATAGAATTCATGTGGGTGGCCCTACTTATTGCATGACTGCAACCCAAGGCCGACCATTAAGAATTTATAACTCCTACGCCAAAGATTATTAAGGCAAGAATTGTAGTTAGGGGTGTTCACAGTTTGATTAATCAAATTGTGATTTTTTTTAATCGAATCAGTATTATCAGTTTTTGCAATTTCTTAATTTAGGGATGACAATTTCTATCCTACTCAATTGATATTTGCCTCTATTCTATTCGATCGAGTAAGGTTTTAGGATTCTACAACTCGTATGARTATGGATAGGGTACTATGTTAGAAAGCATATAAAATTTATGTATCAAAAAATAATAAAAAATTAAATGTGGGTTCTAAAGCCAATCCACCCCTATCCGTAGATGCGGGGAGGGTAGCCATGACATGTTTTAAAAAATCCACTATATATGTTTGGTTTTAAAATGCAAAATATTATAAAATTTGAAAACACTTTTATTTCTCATGTTTCAAAACACACCGCACCTAAGTCTTTCATTCAATGCTTTTTTAAATGCGGAACACACAATAGCATACTTACGGTTTTTAAGTGGCGAGTTTTGTATAACATGGAGAATGCCACCAAAGGCGTTTACAACCCTATTTACCCAAAAAAAAAAAAARRAAAAMYTTTTATATATAATCAGGTGTTATGGTTGTGCCTTCAGTTTTTTTGTTGCGACTTGTTTCATGAACCTACTCCTAATTAAGTTAAGAAAAATTCAAAGGCAAAATTTTGTATAAGTCCAAATCAGATACAAAGAGTTATGTATTTCGAAGGTTTTTTTTTCTCTTGTAGATTTAGTCTTTTATTTTGTGAAAAGTGTRAGATTTTAAATGTATTTGGGGTTTAAAGTTTTTTGTGAATGAGGTTATGAATGCACAATTCTGTATTTCTCTCCATTATAAATTACATAATGGATTTCTATTTTTCTTTCACCTGTGGACATRAATTATAAGCCGAACCACATAAATTTGTATGTATCATCTTTGCTTGCTTTTCTCTATTTTCTTTCATTTTTGGGTGCCATTCAAATCTATATTTCTGGATTTTGCACAACATAAAGAATGTCAAACACATCACAGCAGGGCCCGGTATTCTGACACACACCACACCATATAATGCAAAATGCCACAAAGGGTGTGGTGAGTTCAGAACCACAATTTTCAAAATACACCAAGTGGGGCTCAACATTTTGGGGCACACCACACTTTTTTAAACCGTTGTATGTATGCAGTCAAGGACGGAGTGAGAAAGACGCAGGGGAGCCATGCCAGAAATCTTACAATTAATACATTTTTCCATATAAATTTCCTCCCTCCCATTACTTTTCAGGCAATAATTGCCCCTTTAAGGCCCATCCATAAGTTTTGACTCCCTTTCATAAAAAGTTTTTTTTGGCTCCGCCCCTGTGTGTGGTGAGGTGCATCCGAAAGTGAACCTCCAAAACACTGTAATGAATTGTTGCATCTAAATTTGCAGTATAATTTTCAAATAACAGATTCAAAACTCTTTGGGGGAGCGGCTTTGCCAGAATGTACGTCTTTTTATTTTATTTATTTTATTTTTAAAGGCAGAATATATAGATGTTGCTACATTGCTTCAAGGAAAAAAATTATTGACTTGAATAATAAGGATGCGTTTSGTTGCATTTGAAATCTTGACCAAGCACAAAATTTATACTTGGTTCAGTTTTGTCTTCATTTGTTTGTAATTAATTATAATTCACATTCCTATCTAATATAAAAAAAAAAAAATTGTATCTTTTGTATTTACTCGCAGTGCAAATTTTATATCCCAAATCTGATATAAAATTTGCATCACATTCCTTCTCATACCTCAATTCTTTCTCATATAAAGTAGGGATTACATCAAACATCATATCTTATTCTATCTTATTTCTAGAGAGATCTCTTAAATCCATTCTCTTTCATTTAAAATGGAGAAATTCAAGGTTACTTATTTTAATTCTCAGAAACTAATAAGACAAAATCAAATACGAAGCAAGATTAAACCAAGAATTTACATTCAGCTCTTTTGCACTCTCATGCATTTCACAGGTTTTAATTCTCAGAAACTAATAAGACAAAATCAAATACGAAGCAGGATTAAACCAAGAATTTACATTCGGCTCTTTTACATCAAAGGTTTTTTTTGTTAAGGCATGCAGCCAAAGGTTTTAATTCATATAAACTTTTAACGCTTTAATTATTGCCTTGAAAATCTAAACCCCATCCGTGAAGCTGCTTGTTTAAATTGTTTTTGTGTTTCTTGTCCTACTCTAGGACCTTATTGCATTTTTTGAATAATACATGCTATAAGCATGTAAAAATCCACGTACTTGCCTTATGGATAACAATTATAGCACACACTTCTAGATAAATAAATACACTTACAAAAGCACTGATATGATCGAACACTAATTTCTTAGATACACACATATACTGTCTTTTCGAATCGTAGTTGATTTGGACGGTCAGACCATTTAGCCTGGAGACCGTCTAAGTAATTGGTTTTGTTT